AATTTTTTATAAGACTTAATTGGAGTTCACACATTATGTTGCTTATGGTTGTTTACCATCATTCATTGGATGTTTACAACTTTATTTACCTTTGTGAAATATTATTAGTAAATTCTTTACAACTTGCAGCTCAAAAACAATTGTTTGCAACATTATCTTGAGTTGAATTTCAAAATAAGAAGAAAGACATCAGAGAAGTTTAAGCTTCATTATAATTTATGCCAAAAACAATAAAAAAAGAAGAGAAAAAAGGTAGACCAGACATTAAAAATAAATTATTGAAGCATTTTTGTCATGGAAACCTGGCATTATTTTTAATTTCACAATCTATCACATATATGCAATCTTTTTATTGAAATAAAAATGAAATAAGTTTACTAACAAGAAAATGGAAAAACAAACTAAAAAAAATTGCATCTTTAAAAAACAAATATCTAAAAATTATTTAACTTTTAAAAAAATTTTATAAGTTCAAATTCTATTTATTTACTTTATCCCTCCAGGGATTGTTAAAAGTAAAGATAAAATGAACTTAAAACTGCTTTAAATTTCCTTAAGAAAATTTTACTGGATGGAAATATATTTTTCATTTCATAAAGATAACTATAAAAATAATTACTCACTGTCTAGTTTTTTGTACACTATTTTGCAGAATACTTTTTTGTACACTATTTTTCAGAATACTTCTTCTGTTTAATATTCTTTCCTCTGATGTATCACTACTTTTTCTAAGAAAAGATTTGTGATGAGACAAGTTGCATGCTATTGGACATATGTCATTTCTTTCATACAAAAAAATGTTTTTGGATTTCATACTTTTGGTTGATTTAGCTGAAACACGGAAATGTCTACAAGCTGATCGAACCCATTGATCATATGTTAACCCAATTTGACTTAAAGGAGATGTGTTTTTAAATTCAAGATGTGAAATGGACATGATATTACAATGATTTATCTAATAATACAACAATAAAAATTTCTACTAGCTAGCAAAGTTAAATTGTTAAATGAATCTCCATCTTTTCTTGTACATTATGGTTTACATAAGCCTGAAAATCTTTAAATAAAATAAAAAACTTGTGATATCATCATTAAGTAAACACAATTTAAATCAGAACAAAAGTTTGTGGCAACAGGAAACACAAATATACACATTCATTTATGCATTCATTCACAAAAAAACAAGTTTAATACATAGTATTTTTACAATTTGTGCATATAAAAAAAAAAAAATAATTTTAAACATAAATCAGTACATACAAAAAAAAACAACCTAACAAGTTATAAATTATTATATGATACACATATATAAAAAAAAAAAGTTCAAATAAATTATATATTTATTGTTATTTATTTTTAAAATATACATATATAAAAAATTCTTAAAATTTTTTTAACAACACTTTTGATGAATAAAAAGTTTTACATAAATTATTTTTAATTCCTTCATTTTAAAGGATTAGTCCAAAAACAAAAGCTTTGACAAAAAGAAAGCAATCAATAAATAAACATAAAAAACATTTCTTGTGAAATGAAATAATTATGATCACAAAGCAGAAATAAGTAAAGCAAATAAAAAATGATGCAATGTGCAATAAAGGAATTACAGAATATAATCAAGGTAAAGTAAACAATAATTGTTAAAAAACATTTCATGTAAAAAAACTTTTGAACAATCACATAAAAAATTTATACCTTCCATTATCTTGACTGAACTTTCTTAGGTTAGGAGAACGTTTAACTGTACCATAATGGCAATCAAAACTAAAAAAAAAATTAATAAAATGCTCAAAGTTTATTGTGTAAGGTTTTGACATTTTTATTTGTGCCATCTGTTTTCTATTGTTGATAAATTGATTTTTATATTTAATCATTAAAATTTACTTAGAATTACCTCTAAGTAAACAAAATATCTTCTAAGTAAACAAAATATCTTATAAATAAGCAAAGAGATTAAAAAACCATCATAAAAAACTTAGAATATTTAAAAATAAGAAAAAAAAAGTAAACAAAATAAAATAGAAAAAAAGAAGGACTAAATTTAAAGTTTGAGGGAAAAAACACAATAACAATAATACAGAAATAGTAAAAAAGAAACATAATTTGAAATAGGAGGAAAAGAAGCAGATAAAGAAAGTTATGTTTCAATGCAAAAATATTTAGAGAAGAATAAAATTAAATAAAAGAATAAAAAAATAGAAGAAAATGTTAATACACAAATTACAAAAGAGAAGAACAGAATAAAAGAAAATTAAAGGTATAGTAATCTAGCTTAGTAACTTAGCTACAGAAATTTTGTACAAAGAAAAAGAAAAGAGATGATGAAAAACAACTTTAATTATCGTAAATAATAAGATAAAATAAATAAAATAAAAATAAAAAGATTTTTCTCATTCTTTGCTTCTTGATGAAATGAAAAAATATTGTAAATAAATAAGTTATAAATCAAGAGACCTGCAACATTTTTAAATTGGAGCTATGTATTTATAAACAAAGCTATTATACTGTAAAGTGTTCAATACATATGCAACAGCATATGCAACATTTAAGTTAACAAATGCAAAAAAGTGTAATACTAAACATATACAAAAATTATTATCTTACATTCAAACACTTTATTTAAATTTGAAACAAAAATTGTACTGTTATTTATTCTACAAATACAACCCAAGCCATGCAACATGTAGAGTGAATGTTCCATAAAAAAACTAAGGAAAGTGGAATAAAAAACGATGATACCAGTAAAAATATTTAAAGATATAACTAACATAGTAAGTACTAAAGTTAATGTGCTTTTTAAAGATCTTAAGCAAAGTTTTTAAAGATAACAGATTCTTAAACAAAGTTTTAAAGATAATAGAATCTTAAACATAATTTTTAAAGATAATAGAGTCTTAAACAGAGCTTTGTAAGATAACAATCTTAAACAAAGTATTAACAGCCATAGGATAAAGGAAAGAACCTAAACTTTTAATTTTCTAAATGCTTAATTCTTTCATAATGCTTTTAAAATTATTTAACTAGCATATTTGTTATTTACTTAATTTTAAAACTGTCAGATAAATATCTAAGGTATTTCAAGCCAAATATAAAAATTTGAACTTTGCTTTGGTTAAATAATATACAATTCCAGAAATGACATTAAATAACTTTAGTATTAAAAGACTATATATCTCCAGAGGTTTCAAAAAGTAGTGCTTACCCTAGTTTGGGTGTTGGTGATTACCATAGTTAGGGTGCAGTAAGAAATTAATAGATTACACCAATTTTTTTCATTATTAATGATTCCTTGTTTTTTAAAGAACGTCGTTGTTTTCAAAAGAATGTATTTCAAATCAATGTTTCAAAAGGTGAACTTGAATTAAAATTTTGTGCTAACATAAGACTAACATAATATAATGTCAGTGAATTGCATTTATGTACAAATATGTGTATATATTATATATTATACATATCAGATGTGTATATATTATATATCATACATACCAACATCAATTTAAAGAAAACTTACATAGGAGGATTGTTCTCCAATAATTTTTTATGCTGAAAAAAAAATTATTACTAGTATTACTATACTATTATAAAGAAAAACCAAATAAATTAAAAAAAGAACCAACCAAATAAATTTAAAAAGAATAACCAACCAAATAAATTAAAAAAAGAATAACCAACCAAATAAATTAAAAAAAGAACCAACCAAATAAATTTAAAAAGAATAACCAACCAAATAAATTAAAAAAATAATAACCAACCAAATAAATTAAAAAAAGAACCAACCAAATAGATTTAAAAAAAGAATAACTAAGCAAATAAATTAAAAAAGAACAACCAAGCAAATAAATTAAAAAGAATAACCGAGCAAATAAATTAAAAAAAGAATAACCAAGCAAATAAATTGAAAAGCATAAAAATTTTGTTTCATCTTTTGTATTTTAATATTAAAATATTAATATTAAAATATAAAATATGATTAAGCAATATAATTAAGTAATATAAAATATTATTTTTTTAAATTAAAATGAGTGTAAAACAAATTTAAAACATCTATAGCCAAAGCACCAAAAAAATGATCAAACCTGTTGATTTCTACAAATAGAAGGAACTTTATAGATATCTGTTGAAACCAAATTAATGTTTGTCAATGACAAACAAAGTTTAACTACCCTAAGTTGAGCAATTTCGCTCGCTGACACATCATCTAAAGGCATGAACACTTGCTGGTTTGTGAGTATACCAACTTGATCTAGTAAGTTTACCTTACTCAACTTTTTTTTAACATGTGGCTTTAAATAGCTCATTGCATCAAACATTTTGCATTATAAGCCATTTCAAATTTTAGAAACTTATGTTTGGAAATTTCTTGAATAAATGTTAAAAACTAAATATTTAAAATATATTTATAAAAAAGAAACATAATCAACTTCATATAACATATCAACCTATATATACTGGTAAAAAAAACTTTGTTTAGCTTCCAAAAAAGAAACAACAATTATATTATAAGAAATTTTAGGAGGAAAAAATAAATAAAGTTAACAGCAAAAATATATGTTTATAATAAGAAAAAAAATGTTAATAGAAACAACAATTGATGACAAAAAATAATTATTAATTGTTAAATGACATTTCTCGTACACTTTGACTTATGCTTTCTTTGCACATGTTAACTTTAAAATAAAACCTTTTATATATTTTAAGATATTATTTATTTAAAAGCATAGTATATAAACCAACAAAAAAAAATGTGACATCAATATTATAAACAATTATAGCTTTACGAATTATAATGATTAAAAGTGAAGCCTACTAAAAAAAAGCTTTTTTTTCTTTTTTCTGAAAATAAAACATTTATTAGACTAGTTAACTTGAAACAATAAAAAAAATGAAGCTATTTTTTGAAAACATCAATAAACCATCACAACTTCAAACAACAACTTCAAAGTAGTAATTTTTGAAAACAACATTTTTATTATGTAATGTTCAAGTTAGTAAATCAAGATTTTGTGAAAACTAATTTAAAAAAAGCACAACAAAATTAAAACTATTAAGTCAACAATAAAATGATTAAAATGAAAAATGCCATGTTTTTCTTTATCTATAAAATGATAAACCTATTTACTTATGACAAGTGAATAAAAATGAAAACCTTTGAAATCAAAAAAACCTGATACATTGTTAGTCAATAAAAATCCTATTTATAAGCCTAAAGTAAATATAATTGTTAAAATAAAAACACAGTATAAATTTATTTTATTTAAAAAACTCAAACATATATTTATATACATTTTATTATCACATATTTAATTATATAATTATAATTATATATATATATATATATATATATATATATATATATATATATATATATATATATATATATATATATATATATATATATATATATATATAATTTGAATTTTTTTAAATTAAATGTGTAAAATGATATAATTTATTCTACATATTTAATTTTCATTATCTTATATAAATTGCATTTTAATTTCAACAATTTTTATTTATAATATTATAAAATTTTATTGATCTTTTTACAAGGTTAAACAATTAAAAAATATTCAATATTAATATATAAACACTTAATGCAAAAAACTCTAACTTTGACCCAAACTGTGATCCTAACCATTCCCCATTTGTTAACCCTAAGCATGTCCTGATAAAATTCATTAACTAATATATATTGTCCATCAATTTAAAAAAATTCTGTTCAAAATTTTTTTTATTGTTACTCATTTCCTCAAGCCTGAATAGGCCACTAAAGCAAACTACAACCCCTTTATAACTCTAATAGATATTTTAGAGTACAGCTCAAGTGCAAAATAATTTACTGCATACATAAAAAAAAATAATAATGTAAGATATGGAAAAAGAGGGATAGATAAAAATGTTCCTGTAAGCTACTTTTTTTTGCATCATCTCTCCTCTAATAAATTGTATAAAAACAACAACAAAAAATTACTTGTAATAATGAGGTCTGGTTATAGTATGGTCTCACAGTAACATTTGCAAAAGGTGTGTTCTCTGTTGTAGAGCAAGTATAAATATTCAACTCATCGTCTAATGACCACCCTAAAATAAATTTGAAAAAAATATACACTATATAAATAGTTAAACCTGTAAATTAAATATTTTAACAAAATATATATAACATTTAGTTTGACAAGGCATGAAATTATCTTTAATTATGCAAAACAAATAAAAAAATCTTTAATTGAAAATCAAAAAGTTACTTTATTTTCCATTATTTACCTATTTGAACTTATTTTAAATTATTTCTAAAAACACATCAAGATATATGATCTATTTTCTGTACAAAAGAAACTTTTTATACCTGAACTAGCATTGCATTATGGTTTAGAATTAAAATTCTTTTCTTAAAGCATTCAAACAAGACTTTTTTCGATAAAATTTTACATAAAATAAAAATACCTCCACTACCTGGCTGAACATTCAATGAGTTTAGCTTGGAAAGACATTCCTCAGAATGTTTGCGATAAAGAGATGAAGAACGTAAATAGACCATTGGGCTTCGAAAAGGATGAGGCTTTCTTTGAACGCTAAATAAAAGAAATTAAATGCAAAAAACTATAAAATTACAGATAAAATTAAAGATATATATATATATATATATATATATATATATATATATATATATATATATATATATATATATATATATATATATATATATATATATATATATATATGTATATATATATATATATACCCAATTAAATAAATAGTTTATATATTAACCCTTGAAATTAGAAAAATAGTCACAAGTCAGAAAAAATTTTCAACTTAATAGTTTCATCATTACAACGTAAAAACATACAACATAGATTTTTAACCTTATTCACCATTACATCATAGAAATTAGAGATGTCACAAATATTCAGTGACTATTCAGGGCCTATACAGCTACTTTTTTAACTATTTAGCCGAATATTGCAAATTATTTAGCTGAATACCAGTTTGTAATGAAAAAAAAGCACTGCCACTGTCAAATAAAAAAAAAATTTAGCAAGCTCTAATTAGATAAAATTTTGGGTTTTCTGACCACAATTTGTAAGGGTTTGCTGTCTAAATTAACCAATTAGTTTCATCTAAAAACATATTTCATTTGCAATTTGACTTTTCTTTTCTATATCTTCATGTGTGTATATTTATTATTTAGATTGGTTTGAGCATTTTTATTTACATTTCTTTTTTTAAGTGGATATAAATCATTACCAGTGCTATTAGACACCAATAAATATTAATCCACTTAATCTTTTTAGGAGCATTTATAAAAAAGGGGGTGATTAAATAAGTGTGAATTTCATAAGTGCAAACTAGCATAAATACAAATCAGTTGCAAAAACTGGCATAAGTGCAAACTGGCATAAGTGCAAACTTATGCCAGTTCACACTTATAAAATTTGCACTTATTCAGCTTCCCGATAAAAAAGACAACTGTAAAACTGACATTTCATTGAAAGTTAAACCATGTATTAAGATCATATTTTATAAAAAATATCATTTTTAATAAGTTTAGAGTACTTTGTGCTTAACTATCTATACCAACTTCTGAAATTACCTGAGAAATGCAAGATACACCTAAGTTATTTTTTTTTTGTATTTTTTAAAAATAGTTTGAAGAGTATGACTTTTATACAAAACTATAGTTAAAACATTTTGATGTATAATAACTAAGTATAATAACAAAATAACTCACCGTTATATACAGTATAAAGTGTCACTGAATATTTGGCTGCTTAACATTTGGTGCTCTGGCCCAGCGCCTAGGCATATAATCGGTAGCTAAATCACTAATTGCGATTTTATTCTAACAAAAACCAAAAGTTTCGAGGCCAAGGCCAAGGTCAAGGCTTTAATTTTTGGCCTTAAGGCAAGGCCAGGGCCAAGGACTAACAACTCTGATTAACGATAACATTTTTCTTTAAAAGCAAGACATGTTACGCGCATTTAAGTTATTTATTAACTGAATTACTTAATTATTTATTGACCGCCTTTTATTATATTAATATTTATTATTATTAATATATTAGCATCAATTAGTTAATTAATAAAAAAATATTCTAAAAAAAACCGAAAATAGACTCCAATAGGAATTGAACCTGGAACCCAGGCACCATGATCAAATTTAAACTTTATTAACTCAATAAGTTAATAAAGTTTAAATAAAATGAATTTGTTTTGATGTATGATATTTTTTCAGCAATTAACGCGTTTTTAAATAAAATAACTTTTGCATGATCAACACGCAAACGTTATGTCAGTGTTACACTATCAGGGAATCAGTGACCTGGGTAAATATATATTAGATATATATATATATATATATATATATATATATATATATATATATATATATATATATATATATATATATATATATATATATATATATATACATATAATATACATAAATCAAGCCTTCCCAGGAAAAGCGTGCAGTCACACACCGTGTACATCTATGCCTATGTAATTTTTTTAGACACACTGACCACGGCAGTTCGCATCTTTTAACTTAAAAAGTGTTTCAATAATTCGCAGCAAAAAGTTAAACTTATTTACTTAGAAAAAAAAACAATTCTTAAATAAGGAAACGAAATTGAAACAAAATATCAAGTTTAATTAAATAAACTAGAAAACTTATAAATTAAAAAAATAAATAAAAATTTTTTTATAAAATTTTTATACAACTTTTGTATTCTTTTATTTAGAATCGTTGTTGAAAAAAAGATTATCTTTTATAAAGATTGAACAACAATTGAAAGTTTTGATATGCAATTTATTCACGATTTTTCATATAATATCAGTCCATATTTATTTCGTTTATTCGTTTTTACGTTGTTGCACTTTTAAGAAATTTTTTGCTATATTTGACATTTTTTCTCAATACTTATATAATAGGAAAATAATAGAATAGATTGATTCTTATTTGTAAAAAATATTATTTGATTAATAAATTTTGTTATTAACGGAATAAGTTAAATAAAATAATAACATAGTTTCATAGTAAATGTATTTACTGCATTTGATGCATGTATGAAGTTGTTTCTATTATATTACCCTATTTACAATGCTAATACGAGTTACTAGAGATTTTTTTTTTTCTTATTAATAAATTTTTTTTATTAGAATAAGAATGTACCCAATAAATATATAAGCTTGCTTCATATGATGTTTCTGGGAAAGTTTTTGAGATTATCAAATCATTTCTTTCTAACCGGTTTATTAAAGTCATCCTTGAAGGCCAACACTCTTTTTTATTTTCAGTAACTTCTGGGGTTCCCCAAGGTTCCATCCTTGGCCCTGTTTTGTTTCTTATATACATAAACGATCTTCCTGACAACCTTTCATCTAAAGTAGCTCTTTTTGCTGATGACTCAACTTTATACTCCTGTCTTGACAAAAAGTCTTCTCTTTTCGATCGCCTAGAACAAGCAGCTGATCTTGAATTCGATCTCACTTCAGTAATAGATTGGGGTTCACAGTGGCTTGTGAATTTCAACTCTAAAAAAACCCAATTGCTTACTGCAAACAACTACCGTAATATGGTCAACATTCCTATGTTAATGAATGACAATTCTCTTACTGAGTCGTCCTCTTTACGTCTTCTTGGATTATCGCTTACTACTGACCTTTTATGGAAACCATATATACAATCGATTGCTAAATTAGTTTCTGCTAAGGTTGCTTCTCTTTATCGTGCTCGCCATTTCCTTACTTCTGATTCCATTCTCTACCTCTACAAATCTCTTATTCGTCCCTGTATGGAATACTGTTGTCATATTTGGGCTGGTTCTTCTAGCGATTCACTTTCTCTTCTTGACAAGGTCCAAAAACGCATTGTAAATGTTGTTGGACCTGGACTATCTGCTAAGCTTGAACCTCTTTCCCATCGTCGTAAGTTGCATCTCTTTTTTTTTTCTACAAATACTATCATGGTCACTGCTCAAAGGAGTTATCATCTCTAGTTCCATCAACTAAAATTCATTTTCGTTTTACTCGTCATTGAGTAAGTCTCATTCGTTTACTGTATCTGTCCCTGCATGCTCTAAAAACTTTTATTCATCTAGTTTTTTTCCCCGCACTTCAATCCTTTGGAACTCTCTCCCATCTTCATGTTTTCCTGACTCATACAACCTTCAACTTTTCAAGTCTTCTGTCAACCGTTTCCTTGCTCTATAGCTCTGTTTTTTTTTTCCTAGTAACTCCCAACGTAATAGTGGTTGCTTGCAGCCTTGTTGGGAGTGAATGCAAATAAAAAAAAAAAACAAACAAAAAAAACAATATATAACAGAGGATAAATAGAAAAAACATTTTCCAATCATAAGCAATCTTTTAAAAATAAAAAGTATTCAAAAGACATCTTGCTGTCAAAATATATATGGGAATTAAAATGATCTCAAATAATAGTTACATTAAGTCCCCCTTCTAAAAAATATTTTTCTAAAAAAGCAAAGAAATCATTTCCAAAGAATTCTTTTTATAACAGTGTTAGCAAATTCCACAAATATGTGAAAATTTATAGAAATTAAGTATTTGCGACTTCCTGTTATTTAATTTTTGGTATATATTAAAGTTTTGTTAATTTGGTCATTCATTTCTGATGAGTCTTTATTGATGAAACTCAGTGTAAAATAAGAAAAAATTTTGTTGAGTGATTTTCTACAAATTTATATATATATATATATATATATATATATATATATATATATATATATATATATATATATATATATATATATATATATATATATATATATATGTATATATATATATATATATATTTATATATATATGTATATATATATATATATATATATATATATATATATATATATATAGTATATATATATATATATATATATATATATATATATATATATATATATCTTTGCTTATTAGTTTTGCTTGCTAATCTTTATAGCATACAGCTTTATCAAAAAAAGAACAATGAAGGAAAAAGTTGCTGCCCAATGCCAAATCCTCAGTCAATGTAGGGGTACTGCTTTACGACAGCAGGCTATAAGATAGTCAACTCATGTACTGAAGCCCCCAGCAGCAGCTTATTTTAGTGTGACATTACCGTTTTTATCTAAACATGCATTTATAGTTTTATACATTTAAGTTTTGCATATATGCTCTTAAAAGTTCTTTGCATTTAATGAATACTTAATTAAGTAAACATCATGTAAAAACCATTAAAATAATTGAGGAAATTACATAAGTTTTACTGCTTTTTAAAAAACAGCAAAACCTACGGACTATAATGTTTTTGTTTTTTAAATTTATAATAACAATTATTTTTATTCTGTTTTTATTATTTAATTTTATTTGTTTTATTTAACTTTATTTTTTAGACTGTTTTATTTAGGGATTATAGTGGAGAGTAAATATATTTAGGGATTATAGTGGAGAGTAAATATATTGACTTAAATAGGTAGAACATACAGGGAGTGTACATAAATTAACTAACTTAAATAGATGGCACATGTAAGGCGGGCAATCTATCTATTTAAGAATATACAGATTTAATTAAATAAATTAATTCAACTTATTTATTTTTATTATTACCATACAAAAACAATAATTCAATTGAGAATATAAAAGAACAAAAAGTGTGTGTGTGTGTAAATTCTTTAAAAACTATGAAAATGACTTTAAAAAAAAATCATTTTCTTACTTTAGGATTTTTGATCTTCGATCTTCATCATTATTAAAGCTTCTGAACCTTTTAAGTTTAACCTTCTCAATACTTTTTATCATTTTTTATCATTTTTTTCAAAAACTTCTATTGTTCCATTAAAACATACTAATTTGTGTATCATATACATTGCAAACAAATATATCCAACAATCTTATTAATTTCTGTCCTCATGAAAAACATGAATTAAATAGAAAAAAGATAAAAATGAAAGAAACTTTAATCAAAAGTTTGTAATTATTAATTATTGAAAACCCTTTATTTATTTATTTTAATAAAAACCATTAAAAGGAATTAAAAAATATTACAAGAAACAAATAATAAATAATAAATACAATATTTAAATAATTGCTGACCCATCAAAGGTTCCTGACTAATTTAACAAAATATGCATGAATTCAATGAAAGAATAAGAACAGTAAAATGATTATCAATGAATCCTGATGTTATAAGAGCCAAAAAAATTGCTTTTCTTAACAAATTTCATAGATATAATGTCATAAACAAATATTTATACTATCACATGTGTGTATGCATTCTAGACCATAGAGAATACTACTTTGATCCTATAACCAACATAGTCACTTAAAACATCTTGAAATTAATTATTGTGAGGGTAATTGTGAAATTATTTATAATAAGACACAAAAGAAAGTTGTACTTTTTATTATCAACTTTATTGTCTTTTTTTTTTCTCTATTAATTTTAAATATGTTGTTGATTTTTTTTTTTTTTACTTGTTTGGAATAGCTATCAAATAAAGGTGGAAAATAGTGTTCTTTATTGTACTATTAAGAAAAATAACTCCATAAAGGTGCAGACAAAAAAAAATCCAACAATAAGTTGAAACAATTTGCATTATTATACTTGCTAACCTTTTCCATAAAAACTAATATACATAAATAAACACAATACTTTTTTAATATTGACAAGAGAACTGCAGCTTTATAGAATTAACTGTTTAGTCTTGATCTTTCAAATTTAGTCTTGCTCTTTCAAACAATAAGACAGTAAAACAATTTATAAAATACTTTATGAGTGTATATATTTACACTGTTGATAGCAGATTTGCAAATTAAATAAACAAGCTAAACCAACAAAAACAACAATGGGAAAAAATTATGCTTAAAACTTTTTTTGAAGATTATCAAGACAATTATCAAGATGTTTTCAAAGATTAAAGTAATGAAAATGTTGGATTTGTATTTTGATAAAATTTCTTACTCAATTGTAAGACTTATAAAATAATATTTTATAAAATTTAAAAAGTTTAACTTACATATCATAAGAGAAAGACCTTTCTAAATCACGTGATTTTGCAGCAAATCTAAAAGTCAAAAAGAGATGAAATATTTGGCATTGAATAAGCAATAAACAAAAAAAATACATAGTACTTTTCATAAATAGTTATGTATGCAACTCTAGTAAAACATTAATGAATTGTATAAAAGATATAAAACAAAAAAAATGTATTTAAATCTAATAAAACCTTCATTAAATATTAAAGTTACTAAAATATAGATTATTAATGCATTGATTTTAAATGATTGCAATCAAACTTCTGTTCTATTTACAGGAATTAATAAAAAACAAAGAAGACGAGACAACAAACATTTTCAGTTACAAAAAAGACAAGACACATAAATAAATAAATACAGAATTATTAATCATTTAATCTATTTCCACACCAAAAACAAATACTTTAACATCAAAAAGCAATAAATATAAAACAGGCAGTTTCAAATTTAAACAAAATACATGAAATTTTATTTTATATATATATATATATATATATATATATATATATATATATATATATATATATATATATATATATATATATATATATATATATATAAATATATATATATATATATATATATATGTACATACATGTATATATATATATATATATATATATATATATATATATATATATATATATATATATATATATATATATATATATATATATATATATATATATATATATATATATATATACATGTATATATATGTATATATATATATATGTATATATATATATATATATATATATATATATATACATGTATATATATATATATATATATATATATATATATATATATATATATATATATATATATATATATATATATATATATATATATATATATATATATATGTAGATAAATAGATATAATACATATATAAAACCCAATTATTTTGATTCAAAGGTATAATTTATTACTTTTTCTTCATTATTTCTTTAGGGGCAGAATCATAAATTACATCTTCTCCATGACTTAAAACATGGGTCTTCTGACCAACTTTATATACTTGTTGGTGATAGACAGTGTTACATTTTAGCATCTCTATTTTTCATTAACTAGCAATAATTAATTAACATGTGAAAATCCTTTAGTTTTTGAACTCTTTTATTTATGAAGAAAATAATATATTTTTTTTTAACAACATAAAGTAATTTTTATTACATTTTATCAACTTGAACTAAAATTTCTCTAAATTAAAGTAAATAATTCAAGTGGACATTTATAATCTTAAAATCTGGTTTTAAAAGCTTATCTAAGGAATTTAATGACATTGTTAAATTAAATTAATTTTCGTTGGTGTTGTTCAAATTATCTGTTTAAATAATATTGTTTTTACATTAAGGAAAGTAGTTCACATCTAACTATGTCTGTCTATGATGACCAAAATACTTAAAATACAGTTTTAAAAATTTAAATACAACAATGCATTTGTATTAAACTAAGCAGTATATTCAAATTATTAAACATAACATCACACAGAGATTCTAAATCTGCATAAGTTTTTGTAAAAAAAATTAAATAAAGCAAACATAACGTAAAATAGATAAATTGATTCGAAACAACTATTGGACGCATTATAACAACTCATTGGTATATTTAATTCCATGGTAACTAAAAACGTCAGAATATATATTTTTTTTATTGTTAGAAACGACGTGGCTAATTAAAAATTCTTATTAGTATTGGCGTTGAACTATATTAGCTATATCTTAAGAGTAAAATTTAGTCTTTAGTAACATAATAATGTTTTTATTTCAAATTCTAATTCTTATCACTATTTACAAAGACTTTATCTAAATGAAATCTTTTTATTAGTTTGATTTTAGAGCAGAGTGATGCTTCAGGGCCGACGAGACGGGTTTCGGAGTGTCACAATCGTCAATTCTTAAAAAAAGTCTATATCTAGAATTACTTGAAAAGAAAAAAAAGGTCTTTAGAAAGAGAGTGTGTATGTGGGGGGGGGGGGGAGTTACTTGCTCCCTGGCCCCCCGTGTTGTCGGCCCTGTGCTTAAGTTATTAAATATGTAAACCTAATTTAACAATAACAACAATATATCACAAAAAAGGTTTTAAGGTACTAGACATGCGTATAAAAGATCATTAAGCATGTGCATAAGCTATTTATAATGTTTATATAAATTTTATGGAAAAACTTTTATGACGTTCATTTTTTGTCAACGTATAGGCGGTAATAGGGGTCAGTTGGTTACGAAGAGGTTTACAGTTGCTAATATTACGGAGAAGAGAGTTAATACAAAATTTGCGTCAACAACTTTTTTACATTTATTTGGGTGACCGACATCTTTTTTTTTTTATGTAGGAAAGCGCTACTACAAAACCTTATTAAAATTCAAGTCTCTCCTACATAAAGGAGGACGTTGGTCACCTTACGTTTAGCTTATAAAATATTCTAATAATTTCAAAAATCTTTTAAAAATTTAAAACTTTAAATTGTTTAAAATTTGCTAAATAGTTTTAACATATATAATCTGGGGAAGGCAACAAAAACGTTGAACATAATTTTATTATAGGGTTACAAAATGTTTAACAGGTTATAAAAATTGCCTAAATTAAGTTTTCATAATTAATAGACATTCCATTAACTTCTTTTTGAGTAATTTTTGAATAATACTTTTTTTTGTAGTTAATTTTCTCCGCGTAGCAAGATAAATTTTTTTATAATAACTTACTACTTTCTCCCGTAACAAACTATTTTTTTTTATTTTTTTATTTTATTTTTAATAACAAGCAAAGAAAAGTAAAATAAGTTGTTAGAATAACAATCATGTTTAAAAAAATTGAGAGGTTAAAGATAAATAAAAGACCTTGTAAATGTTAATTACACTATAAATAAAGTATAAAATGTCATATTTCATATTGCGTTTATGAAATATACTCAAATAGTTATACACCATTTGTCTAAAAATAAATGTCAATCAAAGTAATGCTAGGTTGAAGTTTAGGTGAATGTTTTATGAAACGTGGGTTTCTACGTTCGTCATTAATTATTTGTTTCTAGATTATAACTTGTTATTGTAAATTTATAATTTAAAAAATGTTTTTAAATACAATTGTAACTCTATTGGCTTGGTTTATACATCGTAAAAAACGTTCTCTGTAAAGTTTGTTTTCAAACAAGCGTTTAAGTACTTGTTTACTCTAGTAATTTTTTTATTCAAAAGAACTTCACAACCATCAATTAAAGAACTAATGACGTCGCTTTCTTTGTCAAAAATAATTTATTTTTCATAAGCAATTTCATTTAAAAGCTATTTCAACATAATTTCAACATTTCAATCTATTTTTAAAAAAATTAAAAACGTTTTATTGATCTGTCTTTCGAACTTTTTAAAGCCAACTCAATAACTAATTTCTGTTGCAATTAAGACGAGAAAAAAAGCAAGAAAAATGATTAAATAGACATTTGATACTCTGTAACGCCAACTTTTATTGTCTTCTGTTTTATATTGAGCTTTTTATTTTTGTTGTTTTGACTTTACTCTGTAGGAAGTTTTCTTGAAAAACATTTTTTATAACATTTTTATTTGATGTTTTTTGTTCATTTGAAAAAAAAATTCAAAGCATTATGTGCTCAATGAAATTCAATGAAATTCAATATCTATTTTAAGAACTATAATTTAATTACATTATTTACAAACAACCGAATATTAAAAAATATATACGATTGGTAAATCTGAAAAATAAAATCTGCTCATAGCGTGATATCATTATAACACCTGGCACTCAAAATTTATGTTACCCATCTGTGCATTCTCAAACAGTGCTGTGTGAGCGCTTATTTAAAATACAGACGCATGCGCGCACAGTAACACATCCGCCATAACAACACTTTTCCACAATTATTTTTCAAAATTTATTGAACTTTTAAAATATTTTTGAAAACTATCACTAAGTTAGGATTATAAATTTGAATATTGATTTATATAATATAGGAGCGGCTGTTAGTAGTATTGCTTGCTTGTAGCTCTGGTTCTGCTTGATATTTACCTACACTAAATAGGTACAAAACGAAAGAAAAAAAGTAGCAAACAAAAGATAATAAAATTGACAAACAAAAAATGGTAAACATAGAATTTATTTACAGACAAAATAAATATGTGTTTTTGGTGAATTGGTAAATTTTTACATTTATTCTTTTTGTCATAAAATTGAACTTTAAATTGGCGTAATGTGATCAGCCCACACCGACAGTTGACTAGACTGACATGAGTCGATAACCTATTTTAAGAAGAAAGATATTTTTCTATGAAAAATTTAAAATACCCTACAGAGATCCGCAAGGATGGTAGAGTAAAAAACTTAAATCGTTATCAACAAACTATTGTTTTATGGTATTTAAAAATATAAAAGTAGGAGAGAATGGGGAGAAGCGGGACACCCCCATAATTTTATTTAGAAGCGGCGCCTAACTACTGCTATTTAATGTAAACGCATAGATTTCTTGTGCTCTTTTTATTAGACATCATTTTGTCTTTCTACGCACAGAAAATGCTTTTTTTGAAAGTATATCTAAAAAGTATTTTTGCTGCCTAGTAACTTATTGATGTATTTATTTTCAACCGTTGTTTTCACCTTTTGACTCTTGGGAACTGCACTTATAACTTTTAGTACTTAAATTTATAATTTAGCTTTAATTTTGTAATTTTAGTTTTATTTCGTTTGCCATAAATAGGGGTGAAGCAGGACAAAGAAAAAAGTCGCTGTCCCCCGAATTCATTTGTTCAATCAAATCTCACCCAAACTCATTTGTCCAACTTCACCCACACTAGTGCCACTTTACCCAAATAGCAGGGTTCTTCTAAAATCAAAAAAATACATACTTTATTAAAGCATGCTATCAATCTTAGGGAATGAAATCGGTGCCCCAAAATCTTCTTTATTTGTTAAGACTTGTTTGGTTCAGTTTATACACCGAATAAAAAAGGTATTGTAATTACCCGGAAAAAATTTTTTTCGTGTCTCACCTAGTTTTCCCACTCTCACCTAGTTTTACTTATACTTGTATTTACTTGTTATGACATGTCATGACCACTTTTATTTCTCGTTTATATTAATGACTTATATAAATTTTCTAACATTTTAAACTTAATTTTGTTTGCAGATGATACAAACTTGTTTTATTCTAGTAAAGATATCAGTAAATTATTTCAAACAGTAAACAAAGAACTTGAAAAGTTAACCCAATGGTTCAAATCAAACAAACTATCTTTGAACATCAATAAATCCAAATACACTTTGTTCCATCGTCTTCATAAAAAACAAGATATTCCATTAAAACTTCCTGATCTTTTTATTGATAACGCATTATTAAAAAGAGAGCAATCAATAAAGTTTTTAGGTGTGGTTCTGGATGAAAATTTAACCTGGAGGAACCACATAGGTCTAATTGAAAATAAAATATCAAAAAATATAGGTGTTTTGTATAAAGCCAAGCAGTTTTTAAATCTATCTTGTTTAAAAAACTTATATTTTTCTTTAATTCATTGCTACTTAAACTATGCAAACGTTGCTTGGTGCAGCACAAACGCAACAAAAGTAAAAAAACTGTTTAGTAAACAAAAACAGGCTATAAGGATAATTACAAACGTAGACCGTTTCTCTCACACTAAAACATTATTTAATAAACTTAATATTCTAAATGTATATAAACTAAACCTTTACCATATTCTTATCTTCATGTTTAAACTTGATAAAAAAATATCACCAATGTTATTTAATTCACTTTTTGAAAAAATAAACCACATATACCCTACCAGATTTTCAAAAAACAATTACATTCAATCCAAAACACATTATTCAGCTACCAAATTCTCAATTGCAAATCGAGGTCCTAAGCTGTGGAATACAATATTAAATAATGAGCTGAAATCTAATTATTCTTTAAAACAGTTTAAAACAAAACTTAAGCAATTACTGATGATACATGAAAATGAACTAAAGTTCTTCTAAAAAGCTTTTTAAACTAGCAAACAAAAACAAAAATTAACCTACTAATTACTCTTTAATATTATATTTAATATTCTAAACAATAGTCTGCTATTGTAAATGTATTTCTTATCTTATAAGTTTTGAATTTACAAACGATTTTTTAAGTTTTATTATTTGAAATACTAATTACTAAAAATGTTGTAAAATTTTATAATTTCAATTTTTATTAAAAAAAGTTATTGTAAATTCTTTTTGTAATATTAATACTTATATATCATCTTATTTTACTAATCAGTTCTTAAATATAAATACTCTTTGAATTACTAAATATTTTAAACGTTATATATTTTATTTTTTACATTTTGTTAAAATATTTTATTTGATGAATATGCATTTTTTTGGGGGGGCTTAATGATAAGATGAATTTTGTCTTCTTCAAGCCCCAGTCATGTAAATATTTGTTTTTATAAATTACGAGTGTAAATTATTTTCAATCGGCAAATACAATACTAAAAAAAAAAAAAAAAAAAAAATGATATTATTGTATTTACTTGTTATGATATTTTATGATAATATTGTACTTACTTTTTATGATATGTTATGATATGATACTGATTTTAATTTTTTTTTTTTTCAGCGTTTTTTTTAGTGGTTTTGTGCCGACTCGTACGGGGACTTGTTACTAAAGAGTAGTAATGTTGTGATGATGGAGGTTTTGAGGAGGTCAAAACAGCCAATAACTGTGTGACGTATTTTATGGACAACCTCTTTTAGCTTGATTTAAAAAAACATAATAAAAGTTAATCTGAGGGTCATTTTGGACAAAAATATGTAGATCCGAAAAACTCAACACACGCCTAAGAAAACATGGACGATGATTTTAAATCAAAAAACATTTGTTGTGACAATCATTCATTATCATTTATTCACGAAATTTTTTTTTTCTGTTATGAACCTTTTTTGTAACAAACTATTTCCGATTTGATAAATAGCTTTGAAACCATTGTAAAACTCTACTATTCCAAAATATTTAAGTTTACGGAGCAAAACATCGTGATCTACAGTATCAAACACTTTAGATAGATCAATAAAAATGCCTAATGTAAATTGAGAATTTTTAAAATAATTAAAGATTTTGCGTACAAACTAAATAATTGCATGTTCAAGTGAATTATTTTTTTTAAGACCAAAATGATTTTTGTATAGTAGATTATTGTTGTTGAAATAATTAAACATTCTATTGACAATAGAATAACATTCTATTGACAATAGAATTAATGACAATCAATTGTTTCGATAACAATAATCTATTATAAATAATTACAATATAAACTATGTACGACAACATTGTAAATTACTTATTTTAAAATTTTTTAGAAGGCAGAAAAATCTGAGATAGGGTGGTAATTACTAGAATTTTAAATCGATCCGGGAAAATTCCTTAATCAATAAATTCTTTAAAAAAATTAAATAGAAATACTTTTATCGGATCATAACATTCTATAATTTATTAGGGCTCCACTATGTTTTTGTTACCATCTTTAATCATCTGGGGGTAAGGAGTGTAAGCATGATTTTTGTTTTCCAGTGATTTCTTTATGATTTTATTTTGGGTGATTTTAACAAAATCACCCAAAGGAAAATCATAAAGAATACGGTATGTATGTAGTATGTATGTATGTATGTATGTATGTATGTATGTATGTATGTATGTATGTATGTATGTATGTATGTATGTATGTATGTATGTATGTATCAAATCTTTTTATGTGTAATTTTATGTTTTGCTTCGGATGATTTTTTTAAAACCTTTGTAATCCAAGATAAATTTAAGTTTTTTGGGCTTAAAGTCTTTTCACAAATTAGAATGTTAGCATCATAAACGGAATAAAACTTTTAAAATATTTTCGTTAATAATGTTTGCATTGCTGCTAAAGTCTATTTGTTTCCGATGCAATAACGATAATTTTTCTATATACTGTTCTACAATAGCGTGGTCAAAAATAGATTTTTTATTTCTTTGTGCTGAAATTTTATTTTAGAGTTTCATTCAAATATACTTTCTCTCTCTCTTTTTTTTAGTTTTTTAAGGTGTTCCAAGAAGACCTAACGGTTTTTTTTTCTTTTATTTATTTAGTCGTACAAATATTTACAAGTTCCATGTTTTATGATATGGCAAGGACGAGAAGAAGACAGGTTTGTCTTATCACTATGTCCCTTGTTTTTTATAGACATTTATATAAATTCGTTGTAATTAAAATTCAAAATTAAAATTGAGAGAAAAAAGCAAAACCTTTCAAAGAAGTTTATATAAAATGCATAATAGTTTAATAGAGTCTTTCAAAGTTATTTTTAATAAAAGTTAAGGAAGTAATTTAATCACAATAACATGAAGGTTAACTTACGATCATGCAATGTTATATATATTCAAATTTCAAAGTTATTCATTAGAAGAAAATTCATTCAAGAAAACAAAAACCAACATCAACAACAACAACAAAAAAAACATGAAAAAAGAAAACATAAAAGTTAATTTATAATTATATATATATATATATATATATATATATATATATATATATATATATATATATATATATATATATATATATATATATATATCATATATAAATATATGTTAAACAATCATATTTTTTTTTTTTAGTTTACATTTGTTGTCGTAGTAAATAAATTACTTTCACAAACACAAACAAAGGTTTATAAAAGAAGATTGTACTGATCTTATCATCAAAACCTTTTACAAGCGTGTGTATATAAACTTCATCAAAACATAATCAACAAAAAAAACGTAATTAACAATAAAAGTTCTGAAGAAAATATAAAATTACAATCAAAAAAACCTGACTACATCATTCATTAAGATAATTAAATTTTTCAGTTTATATTTGAAAATGGAAAAAGTAAAATGCATGTCGAAATTAGACAAAACAATTTTATGTCAAAGATAGTGTGCACGAAATGATTAAACTTGGCTCTTATATAAAATTATTGTTTCTAAGTGTATATTTATTTATTGGTTTCAAACAAAAGAGGTCTTTGAAAACAGGTAAAGATATGTTATTTTTCCAAATATAGATAAAGCACAAAACGTTAAAAATATTAAGCTCATAAATATTAAGAACTTTTATTTCAATAAAAAATGGTTTGGAATGAGTGTATATCTCCGCAAAGTTTATTAAACGGATCGCATGTTTCTGACGGCGATAAAGGCATTTCAACTCAACTAAATTTCGTGAAAAAACCGACTATAACTTGAAAATCACCTTCTTTGGGGGGTGGGGTTGGAACACCCACACACCCCAACCATAAAATCGACTCTTGTTGTAAGTGTTTTAATATCATTATTAGTTATCTAATTCCATACATTAGGTATTTATTTGGTACAAAGTTAATATTTCTACATTGTAAAACAATGGTCTTGAATGTGAGTGATGTGAATTTGATAATAATCTAATTGCATTTTTTTGTTTGCTAAATACCTTTTTTGTCTTTGTTTTATTGGTGCTGCACCAAGCAATTTTTGCGAATTAAGAATATTATAAATTTATGTCATCAGAAAATAAGATAGAATCTAGTATATTAAAGGTTTTGCTTAAATCATAAATTTAGATTAAAAATAAAAGTGGTCCTAATATAAATCCTTGAGGAACGCCGCAAGTAATTGTCATATTGTTAGTTTTTTCATTGTCGAATGAAATATATTGTTTTCTATTGATAAGTAGCTTTTAAACCAAGCTATGTTTATATTTTTGATTCCGTAGTTTTCTATTTTTTTAATTAAAATACTATGATTAACAGTGTCAGTGACGCCTTACTAACATCTATGAAAACACCTAAAGTGGACTTGTTTTTGTCAAAACCTTAAAAAATAATCCGAATAGATGAAGAATTGCATGGTCAGTAGAGTGCTCTGCTTTGAAGTCAAAAAACTGATATTACCCTTACAATTTTAAATTATTTTGTAAATATTCCTTGTTTAAATGAAAGATTAAATATATGCAAAAGAATTTTTTTAATATAGAAAACACATTTAATTACAACATTACTGCTAACATTACATTGATCGCAAACTTTGTATCATATCCACATTCGTTTGCGAAGTATATTATTCATACACAAACTAACGACAAAATGAATATTTTCAACGTTGAGGCTGCGGCCCAAGCTGCAGCCCATGCTGCTCTTGATATTGTTTTTCCAAGTGCCACCTTTAACAACGCCTACAAGCAATCTGTTGGTAGCATGTTGAAAGCCGCAATTCACTCTGCAATAAACACTTTATTAACAGTAAAAAGTTTTCCCTCTTGAAAAAAGAATTGCTGATCTTAAAAAACATTTTGCTAACTATCGTCAAATCAAATTGGTCAAACTTTTTCAAAGAGAATTCCTCGGAATATATTAAACAACGTCATCAACTTGTCTACTACGTTGCTCAAGATATGAGTGATAGGTCTGAGCGTCTGAAAAATGTTGCTATACCTGGCTAGATTGTCGACTCCAAAACCACCAATGATTAAAAAGTTGCAATGAGTTTCCTGGCATCGATTGGCTTCAATGCTGATAAAGTCAAAAAAGTCCATCGACTTATTAATAAAAAGAATGAACTCGCTAAATTTTTTACTTGTTTCATTTAAAAATAGCAACGATGCCGCAGGGGCCTTACGTATCGGCAATCGTCTTTTGAGCTCCTCGTTTAGAGGTGCATTTGTTCGCAAGAATTGTGCACTTGCTCAGCAAACACAATTTAGAGAATTAAACGCTAAAAAAAAACAAATGAATGCAACGCTTAAAGAGAAGCTAGACAAACCCTTTCGCTATATTATCTATCAAAGAACTCGAATGACATTATCAAATCCGGAGAAGCTAAAAAATGCATGAACTCAAACAACAGTGATGAAATCTTTAAGATCTAACTCGACTGTTAAAGCAAATTTATTAACACCCATGTCAACACAAATGATCAAACCCAGCACTTACCAATCCTTAAACAAACTCCGTTTCTTCTACACGAACCCAACTTCACTCAATAATAAAATTAATGAACTGAACTCGAGACTCAATTATGATTCTGCTGATGTATTAATGCTCTGCAAGACTTAGTTTGACCCATCTTTTACTAGCTGGTGATTTTAACTATCACCATACTTGGTCAAGGTGTGGTGGATTATGTAGAACCTCTTCTAAAGCAGACTTAAAATTCCTTCATGTAGTGAATTCTAGTTTGTTAAACCAGCTTGTCCATGAACCATCTTTTGGTAGTAATTTTCTTAATCTAGTTTTTACGGATGACCCAAGTAGTCTTACCAATATTTCAATACAACCTCCACTTGGTTACATTTTAAAAGGTAAACTTTATTCGACAATAACATGGGATCTAATACTTGCCAACAACGCAGAGAAGACCAGAATTACGGTTAGAACGGATGATAACAAGCTGATTTCAAAGGCATAAACTTCTACTTTCTCAGACAAAATTGGAAAACGCTTTTTAATGATAAAAACGTTGAATAGTGCTACCAAATGATGGAACGACTTGTTAGATATGGAATACATAAACATTTACTTTCGAAAAACCTTCTTGACGCAAACCAAAATGGCTTTACACCTGGTAAGTCTCGTTTAACCAATTTATTGTAATCATCTGATTTAAGAACCTCAGGGTTTATGTATTGGACAATTACTATTCCTCATTTTTATTAATTATATGCCTAGTCTGCTCAGTCACCATTGCAAACTTTATGCTTACGACACCAAAATTATTGCAATTATAAAAGAGCCCTCTGATCTGTAGCAATTACAAACCGACATTGATAGAGTAGTTATCTGGGCTGGACTTGGGTCAAGGAGCTTTAATCTAGAAAAATGTAGTTATATGATTTTCAACAAGCATCGTTGCACACAACAATTAAACAACAAAACTTTTGTTGATGATAAATTTAATGATCCATGCTTCCAGCTAACAATGACTGACAAAACTGGCTTT